AAAAAAATACAAAAAAAAATGGTAATGCTCACAGTCAATCTCTTTTTAAAGGAAAAAGGAGGAATATTATATAGAAATGAATACTTTGTGTTGGAATGAATCTTCATTTGTTGGTACAAATTTAAGGTCAGTTTTGTGATATGTATATTTCTCCTCTGATTTAGGTACAGATCTTTTAAAACGTGATACATAATTAAGTACAGATTGTATATAGTCACTTATAATAGTCAAAACAAGGTTTTCTAGATATATAGAGATGTATTTGAAATGTATAGATACTCTTCAAAACTTTCAAAGATCTACAGAATATATGGCATTTAAATGATTTAGGGTTTTTCTTGACAGTAAGACACAACTACAACTGCTCCTGGCACACCAATTATATCTGAGAGGAAGATGGGCATCGAAGAAATAAAGATTGCCTTTGACATGGCAAGTCTAGACATTTGGGCAAGAAGCTGTTCTTGCCTGAACTGTTTGACTGTTGCTTTATAAACTGGACATGCAGGACCCACAGGAAAGTGACTGTTGAAACAAATGGACAGTCCTAAAGGGTTTCTGCTTCATGGAAGAGTCTGCCAGACATTCTGCAGGACACAGAGGAAAGTGGTGGACAAACTGCCAATGTAGGTGGACAGTTTAGAATTTCCTGCTTTGCTGAGAAGTTTGCCAGACACATTGTGGCCTGTAGGCTGAAGATGGATGCCCCAACGTTACTGAGAAACTTTGAGTGACTGTCTGGGCAGCAAGATGTCTCTGTCAGTTCTAGAGCTTATATATTATCCTTTTATGGTCTTCAATGGAGTTGAAAACAGATAGTTATAGTTTTCCTTAGGTACGATAATGCACAAAGATAGGATAGTTGATAGAATATTTTCTTTAAATCTTATAGTTCTTACTTGATATAAAGAAGTGGGAGATGTTGGGACCCAACTCCCACGGGGTCTCTGTGTGTTGTTTTCCAGAATAACCACAGGTACATCCTGTTTTTCCAGCCTTGCCCCACTAGCATCAACATCCTATTGTGAATCCTTATACCTGGGGGTTTTGTAGGCCTGTATGTAAGGCTGCTCCCTCTCTACAACAAAGGAAACACACATTCTCATAGCAAATGACCAGACGTCTTACCATTCATCTAAATCTCCAGGCTTTTGCTGGATACATTGGACTTGCTTGTGGTGTGGGCACCAGAGTAAAATTTTTTGTTGTTTTTGTTTTTGTTTTTGTTTTCGAGACAGGGTTTCCCTGTGGCTTTGGAAGCTGTCCTGGAACTAGCTCTGGTAGATCAGGCTGGTCTCGAACTCACAGAGATCCGCCTGCCTCTGACTCCCGAGTGCTGAGATTAAAGGCGTGACTAGTAGTTGCATTTTAAAAGTAGATTCAGTAATCTACCTTTTACCTTATCATATCTATATCCTCTCTTTTTTCTTTTCAGAGTAGATTCAATAATCAATCCTTTTATCCTATCATATCTGTATTCCTTTTTTTTTAAACAATAACAACTTGTAACCAATCCTCCTAAACAATGACAAATATACATAACCCAATGAGTGACCCAAAACAACCCACCCCACATTGGGAATGTGGATAATGTGTTCTTAAGTTTCCTTCCTGCTATCTGGGGGCAACAGCATCTTTAAGGAATCCTGAAAAGAAATATTGGGTTAATTGTCAAGCTATATCATTTATGGCCAGTCTCTGTATAATGGGAAAGTGCAAGGCTTGTCTAAAGTTCTGGCTAGAGTAATGAGTCTGTGAGGCTGGATCATCTCAGCTAGCCATCTCAAAATTGTTCTGAACAGTTTGTATTCCAAAGTCAAGCATAAGTTGGTATTGTCCAGCTTAATGGTGTTATCATAGTACTGGTGAATTGTTATGGGGTTACTTCCTTTGTTGTTGTTGTTGTTGTTGTTGTTGTGTGAGATAGGTTTTCTCTGTGTTAACAGTCCTGGCTGTCCTGAAACTCACTCTGTAGACCTTGGCTCTCCTGGAAATCACTCTGTAGACCAGGCTGGCCTTGAATTCACTGTAATCTGCCTGCTTCTGCCTCCCAAGTAGTAGGATTAAGGACAGTGCCTCCACCACCCAGCTGGGATTCCATCTTTGTAGACTTCAGAGATTGCATTAGATCAGATTACTTCTTTTCTTGTTAATTTTCCCCAGGTACTTTTTCCCTTCTACTTTGGATGCTTATTTGTCCAAAGTTCTTTATCTTCCAGAACAATATGCTTTCTTTCAATAGGCATTAGTTATTTAATTGTTCTGGGAAGGAGTTTCATCCATGGTGACAGAAAACAAATGAACTGGTTTTGGCATAGGGGCTTTGGCCTGCAAAAGGCTCTAGACAGTTTCTGAAGGCAAAGGATTACTTTGATGTTCTCTTTTTGAACTATATTCCTTTGTCCAATGCCTGCCTTTACCACACCTTCTGCATAATCCAGAAGTGGGGGTGTTCTGTTGGGATTACACTTACAAAACATTTCTAGAAACACCCTATTTACAGTCCCTTTCAGGTGACCTTACCTGCCACAATTGAAACATGTGTCATTTCCATTTTTCAACCTGCTGAAATCACCTCTCCTATCTATGTATCATCATGGCCATGAGCTTCAATATTAATTGCACCTCAGATCCAATCCTCTAAAGATGCTGATCTTGCTTTTAAAGGCCTAATTATCCTTTTGCATTGAGCATTAGCACTTTCAAAAGCCACTGTTTCAATTATTATTTTTCTAGTTTCTGAGTCTGATATCATCTATTTACTGCTTATGACTGCCTTTGTATAACTTTTGTAAATGACTCAGTTTTTTCCTGCTTCTCCAATTCTGTCCAAAAATTTAATGCTGCTGCACAGCATAAACCCAAAATTGTTCAATATTCTTAGACTCTTCTCTGAACCAAGGAGTCCATTGTAATTGTGGTCCAGGCTCTAAGACATCTTTAATCAAATCTATCTAATCTATAGGGATAACCCTATTACAAACAGACCATGTGTTTATCATCTGCTTCACAAATGGTGAATGGATGCCATATGCAACTACAGCCTCCTTGAATTTCCCTAAATCTAGCATTGTCACAGGCTCCCAGATAGCTCTTACTGATCCTCCATCATTTGGTGATTCTCTGATGACCTTAGTGTGTCCCTTTATAAGATGAAAGTGCAATGCTGAACTTATTTCTCCATGTAATTTCTCAGTCTGGATTTCGATATCTCTATAATCTGCTTTAACAAATTTTCCAAGGCTTACATCTTAGCATTCATATTAACCAACTTTCTTAGAGATAAACCAAGAATTATCCAAAAAAAGACAACTAAGATTATCAAAATAATAATTAACAGTATGTCAATCTCAGTTAAGTTGATTATTCCTTCATTTAATTGTTCCATTTTTAAACCATCCAAAATGCAATCATAAGGAGATCTAATTCTCTCCATTTTAATCATGTTCTCCATTTTTTAGTATGGGAAAAAACTCTTTTAACTAATTCCTTCCTTTAAGAATTTACAATTGGCTTAAAAAAAATCTGCCAGCAATGCCAGTGAACTGTGAGACATAGCATGTCTGAATCAGAGAACTAGCTTGTGGCCATGAGCTGAGAGTGTCAGCCCAAGGAAAGGAGCTCTAGGAAAAGTCCAAAAGCTTCCCAAGTTTTGGTGGCAGTTGAGGACTTTAGAAAAGCTACAACCCAAAATCCCAAACTTGCTCAAAATTTTTAGAAGAAAACCTAGCTGATTGAGCAGGGACTCAGGAAGGAGAGACTCAGCCAGGAGTCCCACATGCAGCACAGGCTTGGGGCTGGGCCAGTGGCCTCAAAGCAGCCCTTTTGTGAATTAGTACTTTTAACATTGGGCACCAATTGTAACACAATAAATAAAAGACCCAGAGACAGGTATTGGGGTTCAAGCTTCAAGCTGAAGATCAGAGAAGCAAAGCAGCCAGTCACTAGCTTTTATCTCTACCTCAGCTCACACCAAAGAGGTGATCCTCAGACTGCTCCTGACTTCACTACTCCTTGGATTAACTCAGACTGCTATGTTCGCCTCAACATGGCTGGAGACTCACTCTCAGACTGAATACTGCCCTATCCTCAAAGTGGCTGGAGAATGAATGCTAGATCTGAGACCCTGTTCCTGTCTTAAATAACTCTCATGAGTCCTAAGATTAAAGGTATGAGCCGTTACTATTTTAAAATGATTCAATCTTTAAAATAAATAAATAAAAATAAAAATAAAATTCAATCTTGTGTAGCCCTAGGTGGCCCTGAACTCAGATCCATCTACCTCTTAATCCTGAGTCCTGGGGTTAAAGGTGTGTACCACTACCTAGCTTCTATAGCTAACTAGTAAGGCTGGCTTTGCATCCTGAACCCTCAGGCAAGCTTTATTAAATCATAAATAATATATCACCACATAAATAACCCAATGTAACTGAATGTAAGTGTGTTGGCCAAAGATCTTACCAAATCCTTTATAAGCAGATTCCATTTGGTATGAGTTTTCAGGTCCTCAAAGACTACCATAATATGCAATGAGTTTAACAGATAGATTGTACACTAAGAGTTTTACTCTTGTATAAAGACCAACATGAAGTACAAAAACATTACCACACTGACTACATTTATAGAGATTCTCTGCAGTGTATTTTCTCATGATTTCAAAGATTCTGATAGATGCAAAGGAGTTATCACATTGATTACATTCATAGGATTTCTCTCCAGTATGTATTATTTTAGAAAGTTGGAGACAACTATAACATGCAAAGGCTTTATCACATTAATTACATTCACAGGGTTTCTTTTTCACTATGCGTTCTTTTATGCCTTTGAAGATTACTGTGACATGCAAAAGCTTTACCACACTGATTACATTCACAAGGTTTCTCTCCAGTATGTATTCTTTTATGTATTTGGAAATAACTGTGACTTGCAAAGGTTTTACCACACTGATTACATTCATAGGGTTTCTGGCCAAAATTTATTCTTTCGTGCCTTTGAAGATAACGGTGATGTGAAAAGTCTTTGCCATATTGAATATATTCATAGGGTTTCTGGCCAAAATGTGTTCTTTCATGTATTTGAAGATAACTGTGATGTGCAAAGGCTTTACCACATTGATTACATCCATAGGGTTTCAGGTCAAAATGTGTGATATTATGTTTTTTAAGATGACTGGGTTGTGAAAAGGCTTTACCACATTGATTACATTCATAGGGTTTCTCTCCAGTATGTATTCTTTTATGTATATGGAGATTACTTTGACATACAAAGGCTTTTCCACACTGATTACATTCATAGGGTTTCTCTCCAGTATGTATTCTTTCATGCAACTGAAGATAACTGTGATGTGCAAAGGCTTTACCACACTGATTACATCCATAGGGTTTCTCTCCAGTGTGTGTTCTTTTATGTTTTTGAAGACTACTTTGACATACAAAGGCTTTACCACATTGATTACATTCGTAAGGTTTTTCTCCAGAATGTGTTCTTTTATGTATTTGGAGACTACTTGGACATACAAAGGCTTTACCACACTGATTACATTCATAGGGTTTCTCTCCAGTATGTCTTCTTTCATGTATTTGGAGTCTACGTTGACATACAAAGCCTTTACCACATTGATTACATTCATAGGGTTTCTCTCCAGTATGTGTTTTTTCATGCATTTGAAGATGACTGTGACGTGTAAAGCCTTTACCACATTGATTACATTCATAGGGTTTCTCTCCAGTATGTGTTCTTTCATGTGTTTGAAGATGATTATAACGTGTAAAGCCTTTACCACACTGATTACATTCATAAGGTTTCTCTCCAGTATGTATTCTTTTATGTGTTTGGAGTTGACTGTGGCATGCAAAGGCTTTACCGCACTGATTACATTCATAGGGTTTCTCTCCTGTATGTATTCTTTCATGTATTTGAAGATGACTGTGATATAGAAAGCCTTTACCACACTGATTACATTCATAGGGTTTCTCTCCATTATGTGTTCTTTCATGCATTTGAAGATAACTGTGATGTGGAAAGCCTTTACCACACTGATTACATTCATAGGGTTTCTCTCCATTATGTGTTCTTTCATGCATTTGAAGATAACTGTGATGTGGAAAGCCTTTACCACACTGATTACATTCATAGGGTTTCTCTCCAGTATGTGTACTTTTATGTACTTTAAGATGACTGTGTTGTGAAAAGGCTTTACCACATTGATTACATTCATAAGGTTTCTCTCCAGTATGTGTTCTTTTATGTTTGTTAAGATGACCATGTTGTGAAAAGGCTTTACCACATTGATTACATTCATAAGGTTTTTCTCCAGTGTGTGTTCTTTTATGTATTTGGAGACTACTTGGACATACAAAGGCTTTACCACATTGTTTACATTCATAGGGTTTCTCTCCAGTATGTCTTCTTTCATGTATTTGGAGTCTACTTTGACATACAAAGGCTTTACCACATTGTTTACATTCATAGGGTTTCTCTCCAGTATATGCTTCTTTATGTACTTGGAGACTACTATGACATGAAAAGGCATCACCACATTGAATACCTTCATAGGGTTTCTGTCCAATATAAATTCTTTCACGCCTCTGAAGATGAATGTGATATGCAAAGGCTTTAACACACTGATCATAGTCAGAAGGTTTCTCTCCAGTATGACTTCTTTCATGCCTGCAAGGATAATTGGCATATGTAAAACCTTTACCATAACACTGTTGAATCTTTATATCTGTATGAAGTAATCTTACAATTTGTTCTAATAGTAAAGAGTAATCATATCATAAGCATTTATCGCTTTATTTATACCCTTCATTATGGATTGTTTTGCATATTTGAAGATGCCTGTGATGTTAAGAGCCTTTATTACCTGGCTCACATTTATAACAACTTTTTTCTCTATGAGAGTTTTCACATATTTGAAGAGAACTGGAAGAACTCAACCTTTACCCCACTTATTCCATTGATAAATTTTCCTATACTATGAGTCATACTACATTTGCAAAGAAAACCAGGACAAACATAATTATTTACACATTCCTAGTACTCATAGGGCTTTTCTGCACTATGGGTTTTTTGATATATTACCAGTGAAGCTGGAAAACTAATGACTTGTAAACTTGAATCACATTCAACAAGTTTACTCAACATAAGGACTACTATATATCTTCTACTTGTTCTAAGATGGAGATACATTGCTTCTTTCCATATCCCTATATTTGTATGGCTTGTATCCAGAAGACACATGATATACCTACTAAAGGAAGAATAACAAATCAAAGGTTTCACATTGCATTCACAGTTTAACTTTCTATTCCTCATATACTTATGGTAGAGGGATTGAAGTTTCTCCACAACACTCCCCCCTAACTGCTCATCTCACTTAGCTTAACAAAGTCAGAACAACTATATTAGTAACACTAGCTTTACTGTGGACTATTTGGACATAAACTTATCACCTATTATTTATATATTTATATATATATACATATATATATAATATATATATAGACACACCTTTTGTAATATGAGTAGTATGAAACTAAATGAATTGGCAATTCTACAGTATAGCTCTGATGGAGCTATGATTCAAATGGTGGTATCTGTTAAGGCATTGATTCCTTGTCTTCCTTCTTAAAAGAATGATTTGCAAACACAATTCACTTACCTGCCATTGATGTTTACAGTTTTGTGAGAATTTAATGATCGTCAAAGCACTTAAGCTGTGATTATTTACACTGTTGCTTTTCTTTAAAACTTCTAGATACATTAAAATATCTTCAGAGGCACATTTGTATCAGCATACACATGAAAATTACCTTCCATGTCTTCGAGAACTTTGACAATGTTCTTCAATATTATGATCTTCCCATTTGTAGCCTAAAAATACCAGGAAATATATGACATATTATTTGAAATTGTGTAAAATTTAAGTTATTTTCTTCAGTGATCCTTAGAACCATGCCTAATTTATTCATATCATTCTTCCTCATTCTCATCCAGATTATAGAAGTGCATCAATAACCAAGAAATAGTTGTCCCCTTATTTTAAAAGATAAAGGAAAACTCACGATATTACCTATAGCAGTGAGGTTCGTATAGGTCTCCAGCATCACATCTTTGTAGAGATTCTTCTGGGAAGGATCCAGCAAAGCCCATTCTTCCCGAGTGAAGTTGACATGCACATCATTATAGGTCACTACATCCTAAAATATGCCATACATATATACAACAAAAATCACAATACTGACAACATTGTAAATGTATACTTCTTTGACAATATAGTCATATAATTCTGGTACTTCCCACACTTATTCTAGGACACTGACATTATAACATAACCATGAAATCACTTTAGAAGGAAACTGGATAGGAGGTTTGCCAATATCCTTTCTGAATTCTTTGAAAGAATTATCACCTTGACAGAGAAATGCCTATTAGCAGACACAGAGAGACAGATCAACAGTACTGATTACACATCTGAGAAATTTTGTGAACAATTACTAACTACAGAGAAATATAAGCAAGGTGGATATATTGACTCATACCTTTACACTAAGCACTCAGAAGGCAGAAGCAGGTATATCATCCTTTGAATTAAATACTAGCCTGGTATATGCAATCAGTTCCAGGGCACCAAGAAGCAAATATTAAGAACCTGTCTCCCCCATAAAAATCAATCAATCAAACAAAAAACATAGGAAGAACTCAGATTTTTTTAAAGATTTATTTGTTATATATACAGTATTCTGCCTGCATGCCAGAAGAGGGAACCAGATCTCATTATAGAAGGTTGTGATCCATCATGTGGTTGCTGGGAACTGAACTCAAGACCTCTGGAATAGCTGCCAGTGTTATTAACCTCTGAGCCACCACCTCTCCTGCCCCAAACTCAGATTTTTTTACTGAAGTTTATAGTAGGAAATTACCAATACAGAGTCAGGTAGAAATATAAGGGTATTTAATAGGGAAACGCCTTACTTACAGAGCGAACCAGCCAGCCGGTGGTAGTCTGTACAGCAAGAAGCAAAGAGAAACCGAAACCGAAAACGCAGTCCCCCTACTCACTCTGACCATGCCCTCACAAGCCTGCTCAGGTACCCCTGTAGCCAGCCCCTAAGAAGGCGTGGCTACAGCTTCCCCTACAGAAGTTTCTATAAAGAGTTATGCATTCACTTCAGTTCTGTATACATCTTCCAGAAAGCTGAAGTTTAAATTGTAACTTTAATAAAGATTACTAAAAGGAATAATGCATTTAAGCAGTTACAAATCAAAATTCAAGATGGGGGGTGAAGCTGAGCAAAACAGGATATGCTTAACATATACAAAAACTATATTCTAGGCCCATCACCCAATAATACACATTGGAAAAAAACAGGAATCTTGGCCTACCCTTAATCCCAGCATTTGGGAGCAAGAGTCAAGTGAATCTCTGAGTTCAAGACCAACCTGGTCTACAGATCAACTTTCAGGACAGCCAGGGCTATTCAGACAAACCTTGTTTTCAGAAACAAAAATAAAAACAATTTTTTTAAAAAATCAGACTGTCAAAATGACTTAACATTTAATAGCAATTATTCCAATTGTATATTATGTGATTTAGTAATACCATCTACAATTGTGGTGAAGTCCAGGACATCACAAGATGGAAACTGGCTGATTAATTTCAACCACAACATAGTAGAAAGAACAGGAAATGAGTTGAGGCTATTTGTCAAATACCATACCCAATGAGGAATTTCATCCAGAAAGGTTATTCCTAATAAAGGTTCCACAAGCATGCCAAAGAAAGCTGCCACGGAGAGACACGTGTGCAAATACATATTCCTATGTGGGAGCTTTTCATTCAGTAAACTAGATTCTGACCCAGGTCACTATAGGCTCAGAGTCATGAAGAAACTGTGTTTAGTCACTTCAGTGATCCTCATAGCCTGCAACAGCCCCTACACTGTTCAAATGTCCAAAGTCTCTTCTGACACTCAAGACAATTTCTTGACTGTGTCATCTTGTAAAATCAGAAAACAAGTTAAATCTTTCCAACATACAATGGCACAGAATAACCATTCCCATTCCACAGGAGAGGAACTGAAACGTGGTGAGGTAAGACTGGAACAAGACAAGCCTGAAATTCAGCAGTGTAACCATCAAATCCAGTAGCTCTGTGTCAGACGCAAGGGGATTCACTTTCAAAGGGCTTAGATGTCGCTATCCCCACAACTTCCCAAACATCTCTCTTTGGTTACATCCACTCCATATATGCAGTTCTCCATGGAAAATGTCTCATGGCTTAAGTATCTGAAAGTCTTGTGCTCTCAAAATACAACCCATGCAATGAACTCTCACAATCACCTCACTGGAGCTCTGACTCTACCAAACACAGATGCCTATAACAGTGCTAAACAGAATGCATGGCCTTAAATTTTGCATCTTTCTTGTTTCCAGAACCAATATAACATAAGTGATTCCCCCAAATTTGGTTTCTAAGTTGTGATGCCATGTTTGAACCAGAGTCTGAGTAGGCTTTGTATGAAGTTGTTTCCTGGGACTAGAAATCACTGTAGTAAACCTTCCATTAACTGAGGGCATAAAAGAATAGATTCTTACCCTTTGGGCATCTTGCTAGGCGTTCAATGTAGTGCAAGGGCCTTTTCTTTAATGGTGATAATCTCCCTGAAAATTCTTACATCTCTTCAGCACTTAACTGCCATCTGAAACTACCTAGTTCTTTTTTTCTCTACACCCCACAGACTTTTCATTCATTTATGACCCACTTGTTGCTTTTTAAACGGTAGTCCTGAATGAGTCATCAGTAATAGATATTCAAAGGATTCAATATTCCATCTAAGAAATCATCCCATTACTTTTCAGTTTTGCCTTACTCAATTTTCTTGGGGGCATGGGCATAATAAGAAATGTTAGAAGCCAAAATGTCACACAAATGACCTCTAGCTTAATTTATCATGGAGTCTATTTCCCACTGAAATCATATGACCTGGACCTCCACTGTCTGCCATTACTCTCAACACTCCCATCTTCCATGTCCTTCAAGAACAGCTATGTGTAGAGGTTTCTATGACTTTTTCCATCCAAAGTCCTGATATCTTCCACATTCTTCCAAAAGATAACATTCCCAGGTTCTGCCCAACAACAAAATCACATTTGGTGTACCATTTTTGTTCTAACTTGCTTCTCTAATACTGAGATTAAATTCTCTAACCAAAAGCATCTCAGGTAATGAATGAGTTTATATGGCCAATTCTGTCAGATCACAACCCATCATTTTGTGTGCTTAGGATAGAAATTCATGCTAATGACTGAAGGCAAAAATAATGAGGAATATTTGTTTCCTGGCTTTTTCATTTACTTTGTCATTGTCTCATGCTAAGTTAGTTGTCTTATACAGCCCATACCTATTTTCTTAGGGAACTGCATTCTCAGTGGAAGGGCCATCACACATCAACCATCAATCAACAAATCCCTCAAAGACATAGCAACCAGCCATTCTGATGGAGCCACATCCTCAACTGATGTTCCCACAGATGACTACAGGCTGTAATATGCTGACAGCTGGAAGTAACTAGGACACAGATAAAATAATATGAGAGGGTTTTAAAAACCAAAAACCAATATATCAACCACATCAGTATCTGAAATAGAAAAAATGCAAAAATTGATGGTGGTAACACAGATATGCCAAGAAATGAGGAGAGACAAGATCAAGAAAAGAAAACTAAAACTGTTTCTCCACAGAAAGTCTCCAAACCAATATACTCAAGTAACTCATAATATAATATAGTAATTTTTCAGAAAATCAAATAGGTGAAGGTCTATAATTTTCCAGAGAAACAATATAATTAGATTATAACTAATAAAAAATCACACAATGTAGATAGTACCACTAATAAAAGGAGACACAAAGACAGACCTACAAATTTGACATAGTCCCTTGAACAAGAATGATAAGATTCTAACTAAAATCAAAATCAAAGAAATCACTGATTGCCACTCACTCACCCTGTGCTCTCTAGTTCTATCTTTTGCAAATAATAGAAAATGGGTTGGGTGAGGAGAGCTGTTCCACCAAAACTGAATAGATTTGCTTGAAGCCTTCTGATGTTTCTACATTGTAAAATATAGTTTTGACTACTAAAACTATCTCATTCTATTTTGATAAAGAAAAGGATGTCTGTTAGGATCATTTAGAAACCATTTTGTTTATTATGATTAATGATTGGATATAAGTCTGCATCAAAGTGAGGGAATGAAATATTTTCAAACCAAATGCAAGATAACAGATTTTTAAAGAAATATTGTATGATCTATATTATATACCTAGAACAATCTGTTTTCTTCTAATTGCTTTATAAGTCATAAGCACTTTTGAAAACAAGTCTATCCCCATCTTTATGAGTATGTTTGAAAGTGTGAGAGAGAATGTTTTCCATGTGTGTACAGGTGACATACCAAAGAGTGTGTCAGATCCTCTGTATCTGGAATAGCAGGCGGTTATGAGCCTCCAAACTTGGGTGTTGGTATATGAACTCAGGTCAACCCCAAGAAGAATACTTTCTGATTGACATGCGCAGCCCACATAGTACTTTAACAACAATAAAAATCTAAATAAAGAAAGAAGTTAAATAAGTGATCCCTTAATACTGATTAATCAGTATTAAGATGTTGGGTATGATATCAAATAGGCTGCCCAAAGTCCTTCCCCACTCTCTGTTATCCAAGACCCAATACTCAGGGTTGCCCTTAGGGCTGCAACAAAACTCCAGCTGCAACTTCTCCTTCCATATCCATGTCTCCTGTGGATTTCAAAGACCATCCCCACATGCCTTTCCCTTCTCACCTCATATCTGTGTCCTAGCATCCAATTGGGGCAGATACCCACTGCTCAACTATTTGCCACATCTGCCAGAAGACCAGTTAGGCTGTCCACATATCTAACACATTATCTCTTACCCTAGACCTGATTTTCACAGTTAGTTGCCCCTATCATTGAAGTAGAAGACAAGAGGTAGCTTCCCCTCCAACCTCTCCATGACTCCTGTGGATCCCTAAGATCATCCGCTGGCCTCACTGTCCCCTAGTTTCAGCAAGCATTCTCCCTTGAACACACCAGCCAAGAAGGCCAGGAAAAAGGCAACACTCACCAAACATGTGCTCTGAAACTCCAGAGAACAGACACCGAGGAACAAAACTCCCATCCAACCAAGATCCAGTCAGAAACCAACACCTAGACCTATAATCACACCAACCCCAGATGCCTAGCCTAGGAATATAATCAGTAACAGCCAGGGCAATATGTCATTGCCAGAGCCCAGCTAGCCTACCACAGCAAACCCTGAATATTCTAACACAGCTGAAATACAAGTAAAAGGCCTTAAAAACAACTATATGTGGGCAAAAAATAAACATCCACCTACAGTTAAAAATCTAAATAATCCAAATTAAAAAAAATGGGATATGGATCTAAGGAGAGAATTCTCAACAGAGGAATCTCAGATAGCTGAGAAACACTTAAAGAAATGTTCAACATTATTGGCCACCAGCAAAATCCAAATCAGAACTACTTCTAGATTCCATCTTATGCCTGTCAGAATGGCTCTATCAAAAACCCAAGTGACAACTCATGCTGGTGGGGATATGGAGCAAGGGAAAAACACCTCCATTGCCGGTAGGAGTGCAAACTAATGCAGTCACTATGGAAATCAGTATCACGGTTCCTCAGTAAACCAGGACTCTATCTACCTCAAGACCCAGCTATACCACTCTTGGACATATACCCAAAGGATGTTCCATCCTACCACACAGACTCTTGCTCAGCTATGTTAATTGAAGCTTTATTCATAATAGCAAGAAACTGGAAATAGCCAAGATGTCCCAAAACTGAAGAATGGATTTTTAAAAAGTGTTACATTTACACAATGTAATATTACTCAACTGTTAAAGCAATAACATCATGAAAAACCTGATTACCTCACTACTCATTGCTAATGTCAACTACTGTCAAAGCAGAAAAGTGAAACTCCTTCCTGTCCCTCCCTTTCTGTGCTGTGACTATATCTGTCTTACAGTTGATTAGTGAACTTGATTCTTACACAGATCCCTTTTCATTTCTAAGTTCCCAATAAAATCAGAGAGATTGGAGGACACTTATTCACTGTTATATTCTTCATGCTCACAGGCCAGTCAAGGCCCAGCCTGGAAGCAGTTGCAGGACTGTCTTCCCAAGACTACACAGCAGAGTCAGGATTAAATTTTCTAAGCAATTCTCAATTACATAAGTGTGAGGCAAGCCTCAGCTGCACAAGACATTAATCTAAACCAATGGTTCTCAAGTTTCCTAATGTTGTGACTCATTAATACAGTTCTTCACATTCTGGTGATACCCCCCACTATAAAATTATTTTACCTCATAACTATAATTTTGCTGTTATGAATCATAATATAAATATCTGTGTTTTCTAATTGTACATATCTGTGTAGGAGACTTCCTTAATAGGAAACTTAATACTGAGTAGCCAAACTACCCTCCCTAAACTGTACACCCACCAAAATTCTGTCTTTCTTTATTCACATAGAAGGAATTAATATATGCTGGGGAAATTACAAAGAAAGCCACTCACCATGCCCCACCAAGTCATTCTTTGTAATAGAGACCCCTGCAGCTCACTGCTTTCAAACAAATTAAATCTTTCCAACAGAACAATGGATAGATATAGTTATAGATATCTGTCCAACTCAGACAGATATCCCATGCTCATGTGCAGGCCACACTAGCCAGAAGTACAGGTAGGCCACCAGCCCATGGAACTTCCCCATTCCTTCAGTTCCCACAGATACAATTCCCCCACCAACCCTCCAGCCACCACCCCTAGAGCCAAGTCCCTGCCCCCAGCTCAGTGGAAAAAGCCTGAGCCACTGACCAAACATTTGTAACTAATATTAAGCCTCTGAGTGATTATTTTATAAGCAACTGTGGGACCAGGTGGGATACATAAAAGCTTCCACTTTCTTTCTACTAATATCTGTGCTAAATCCCTGATAAACATCTCCTTTTACCCATGGGTGGTCATGTGAGACAGAGGCAAATGGATCTCTTCAAATTCCAGGCCTAGCCTATCTAGGCTAGACAGGGTTAGAAAGTGAGACTGTGTCTCAAAAGAGGCTTACTTCAAAAATCTCTACTTAATAAACTTTAGGGTTGTGAAAATGGTTTAACAGATAAAGTACTTACTGACCTTGCTCCTATCCCTTTACTGCTGCATTACAGAGACAGTTGCAACTGTGCATGCCTAAATCCAATACTTTTAAGGCAAAATAAAAGGCAGACAGAAGAAATCCTGCTAGCCTATTTACACATGATAGCAAACCTTTCCACATAAATGAGCACATACATACAAACAGTCATAAGTAAATAAAAAAATAAAATTACAATTGAATGATGTGGAACACACCTTTTATTCCAATACCTGGGTGGCAGAGACAGGCAGAGTTCTGAGAGTTTGGGGCCAACCTAGTCTACATTCTGAGTTCAAGGACAGCCAGAGATACAGAGACCCTGTCTCAAAATAAAATTCCAACTCTGACTTGTATTGACTCATCCTGAAATCCTTTTCCAAATTCATTGAAGTGTCCCAGCTTAACCTCAGCAGAGGTCACGAAGTGCAAGACAGTAACTCTTAAGATCATTTCAGGTGTCAGACACTGGTGCACAGCCAAGTATGGTAGCAGAGCCAGGCAGATCTTAAATAAATTCAAGCTAATTTGATCTTCATAATGAATAGGATAGTAAGACATTACTCAATAACTCATAACAGACACACACTCACAAATATAGTTTAATATAATTTTCCTTTGTTGCTTGACACAAGATCTCATTAGAAAGCTCTAGCTAGGGAGCTGGAGAGATGGCTCAGTGGTTAGAGCACTGGCTGCTCTTCTGGAGGACCTGAATCCAATTCCCAGCTCCCACATGGTGGCTCATAACCATCTATAACTCTAGTCTCAGGGAATCCAATGTCCTCTGCTCGCCTCTGAGGGGACCAGCATACATGTGGTGCACAAAAATGCATCCTGGCAAAACACTCATACACATAACATAAAAATAAAGGGAAAAATTAAAAAAAGAAAGCTCTAGCTAGCCTAACACTCACAGTGTATAATTTAATGAATAATTTATAGTGAATATTTTAAAACAAATTCCAGTAAACATATACCACTGGCTCAATGTTGAAAGCATGACAGTTTTCTATACAAGACACAATTTCAAACAATTGTCTTTATATTTACTTAAATTTCAAAGAACTAAAAGTGAGAGAAATTTTATACTATTTACATTCCTAGGTTGTTTTCCTCCATCCAACCATTCTATGAAATCAATAATCTTTTCTTGAGTTTTTTTCTAATTTAGAAACATTTTAAGTAGTTTATTTGCAAACTGGGGTATTTTCACACTTTGTTTTAATGCTAAGACTTCAACTGTGGAAGCTGAAACAATACCTATTAAAGTAAATATTACAGCTACCAGTAACCCAATGAATTTTTAAGAATGTTTTTCCAGAATAGTTAGAAAATTTCCAAGTATTGTATTGAAATTTTTGGAATATCACTCTAACTTTACTGGGATCAAAAAATAAAAGGAGGCCAGGCAGTGGTGGTGTGCGCCTTTAATCCCAGCACTTGGGAGGCAGAGGCAGTTGGATCTCTGTGCGTTTGAGGCCAGTTGGGACTACAAAGCAAGTTCCAGGACAGCTACACATAGAAACCCTGTCTCAAAAACCTAAAATAGACAAATAAACAAACAAACAAAGGTAGTTGGTATACAATTATGCTATTATTTGTTATGCTATCAACACATTGAGTTAAACAGCTGTTATTTTATGTTTCATGAAATAAAAGTATGACTATAGTTGATCACAAGGATTTTTACTAATAATACATGAGGAGAAATTACATAAGACTATACATAATATGATTCTATCAAAAGTAAATTACAGTGTTTCTCACATTTCCTCTCTAAAGGGTAATAAATCATGTACTGCTTCCGTTAGGGTTTCTATTGCTGTGAAGAGACATCATGACCATGGAAACTTTTATAAAGGAAAAACATTTAATTGGGGTGGTTTACATTTTCAGAAATTTAGTCCATTTAGTCATGGTGTGACATGGTGGCGTGCAGGCAGACATGGTGCTAGAGAAGGAGCTGGGCATTGTACATCTTGGCTCACTGGCAACAGGAAGTGGTTTGGGACAGTGGACATGGCTTGAACATATATGAAAACTCAAATCCCACCCCTGCAGTGACACACTTCTTCCAATAAAGCCATATCTACTGTAACAAAGTCAAACCTCCTAATAGTGCCACTCCCTATGAGCTTATGGGGGTCAATTACATTCAGACAATACCATAGGTACTAAGTATTAATTTTCACAAGGAAGTATGATATGTCCTCTTGGATGAGGAAAAAATGAACCCATACTATTAAGAAAGACTAAACGGATAAATTTATTTCCACACCATAATTTATTAGACCATGAAATTTTTGGTGGGACCCACCTAAAGCCCCATAATAGATTACATGAAGTATTCTGCTTACATTAACCCAATGTGGAAATAATAACAAGGTTGCTCCTTGTCCTTGAATTGGAAAGGGAGACTAGTGAGGCACTTCTTTAATACCAGTTATGTTTTCTGAGATGCCTGTTTTAATCACTTTGCTTCCAATAACTTATACAGGTTAAACATTTATTTGTCCCATCCTTTCCAGTGCTATGAAAAGCTGTAACATTATTAACTCCAAGGCATCCTGGTGTATTACTTGTTATTCATGGTCAAACATATACATGAATCAGAAGCCTAATTGTACTGAGCATAGTAAAAAAAAAAATGTCTTTTAGACATGTAAAAATAGCTTAGTAACACCACTACACCCAAGGCTGTACCTGACAAGCAGAACCCAGTGACATCACTCACTCAAGACAAGCAGACAGTCTCCATGACAGCCACTGGACAGTCTATAAGCAGAAATCAAGAGTAATGTTCTGCTCTGTACATCTTGAGAGACACCACCTTGACTTACCCTGCATCTAGAAAGTCTCCCCAAGGATTCTGACCCTCAAAACAGATGTCTGTTAGAGACTGAACCTGACCTTCAGCTAACATACTTAGCACAGGTGATCAGCCTTGGGGAAAGAGACTTAGGACCTTAGTTAGGAATTGAGGGTATGAATCTTGTGTGATGACCATCAGCATAATAATATATAACTTTTGTTACACTAACTACACGTATCTACCTTTGCATACAACATTACTCTCTTCCCACACCTCCCCTTCAGAATTTGTTGTCAGTTGCTTGGTGGGTCTTTGCCATACTGACTGCAATTACCACAACTCTTACCAATAGACCAAAACCACTATCTATAGAAATAGTAATAATTTATGATATCAACAAGCTCCATAATTCTGATAATAGCCAATATAACTAGTATTTTTAATACAAAATAGCAAATGCCTCAAAATAACAGTTATGAGTTTGTTTGCCTTATAACATTTCCAGTTTTACCAATGAACTCACCTATGAGGATCACACATGCTGTCCCAGGAACATCCCAAGACTCTAGCAGTTTCTGAAGTCTCAGAAGACAATGGGAGGGGTCCATGGAAATCTCTGTAAAGCAGCTGAGCACCAGGTATTTGGAAGGCATCTGGGCTCAAAGAAGGGTCTGGAGAGTGTCTTAGAGACTAAAAATTCAGAGGGCAACCTGATGACAGAAAGGTCCTTAAAAAGTGTAGGTGGACACCTGCATCACTTTCCCTGTATCAGGTTCTCACCTATATGACCATGGCAAGCTGTTCCTGGTCTATTCCTAGCATCCTGCCACGCCTAACAGCTACAACAGCAGCACTATGACCTCCACCTCTCTGGGTTTCATCATCAGCCCTGGTTGACTCCTTGACAAGCTCAATATAGGTCCTGAGGATCTCCGGGGACTAATCCCAGGGCTGCAAGTGATCAGGTGAGGTGGCACTCCATCTAACACCTCCTTCAGCTCCACAGATAATTGAGTCAGGCAAGACAAGAGCTGGGTTGTTGCATATGGCCTTGGACTCTCTGAGCCAAGCCTCTCTAACTCCTACTAAGCACAGCCTCTTCCTGAGGCAAATCCAGGAGAAAACTGTGCCACTCATCTGCTCACGAGCACAGCAATCTCAAGATGCACCCCAGGCAAGTCCCTCACAAACACCCATACAACATGACCACAAACATTTCCCCCTCCCTAAAAATGCCCTTCCAGACATTCTTTTAGACTGCCTCAGAGAACCTGGGAATCCTCAGGAGAATCAGAATGAAGAGTTCATGGCAGCTAAACTAGAGAGCTGCTCTAACATCAAGGCCAGTGGAGACAGCAGCCCTTCTACTGCAACCACAGGGCCCAGGAAACTGAATATCCAAGCTATCCTTCCTAAACTGTACACCCAACAATTCTGTCTGTCTTCATTCACATGGAAGGAATTAATACATGCAGGGAAACTACACAGAAAGTCACTCACCCTGCCCCAGCAGGTCCTTCTCTATAATTGAGACCCCTCTTGCAGCTCACTGCCTTCAACTTCAGTCTGTGACTTAGCTATTGTCTGGTCTGTTTCCTCCTGCAGTGTACACAGAGCATTATTCCTCCTCTTCGGGTCTGAAGGGAGAAGTCACGCGCCACACACAAATCCTTCCCCTGTTCTGCAATGGGCAGTCCACTATATGACTCAAACTGGTCACTTTAGAACTCTGCGGTGCTGGAGATGTGAAATCCAACATTTAGGGTGGTTAGTCAGGAGGATAACAAGGGCAACGCCCTGTGGGGCTACAGATAGTGTTCAAGTCCACCTCCATCAACATAGGAAAACTTGACTCAAAACTGCTTTTCAAAAAGACTGGAGATACAGCTTTTCTAGAATTAATATAACTTTATGGCACAATTGGTCCCTTGAGCAGCATTTAGAATAGGTTTTTCAATGGAGGGATGGGCCTTTCTGCTGGGTGTAAATCAGGGTTGTCTCCTTTGTTATAGGAATGTAGCTGGTTAATACCCTGAATATTTACATCTTATCATACTAACCACTAACGGGCAGGGTTAGCAAGCATACTACTTATCTTTGGGGTATTGGGGATGCAGTCCTCCCTTATCTAAATTCTGCTTTGTGACTATGTCTCGTAAGAACTGGTAAGTCTTTATACTATTTATTCTATTATCACAGTTTAACAGTGGATGCTACTCTACACAGGAAATACTGTTTACAGGCTCCACAGAATTAATTCCAGATGGATCCTAAGCCTAAACGATAAATGTTCAAAGTGCAGAACTTCTGGAAGATATTACAGGGACCAGGGCTCTCTGAGTTTGGCAAATCTGTGTTCCATAGAGACAGCAAAAACACTGTTACGATAAGGCATGAGAGGGGCCTTAGCAGGTCCCATGGCAGGTGAGAGACAGACACGCCACACAAACGGTGTTCATGTGGAGGCTTTTATTGAGAGAAAGGGAATGGAAATGTGAGGAGAGGAGGGGGAAGACCAGCCTCTGGGAACAGGAGCAGCATCGGAGGAAGGAGAGGAGGCACAGAGATGGGGGGGGGGCAGGAAAGAAAGAAAGAACGGCTGAAGCTTGTCTCTTAAAGGGGCCATTTGCACCTGCATACAGGCTTACGTAGCCATGCAGCATATGACATACTGAAGCACGCCTGAGTATTTGCCTGAATGCTGACAAGTAGGGGCGGGCCAGCATAATGCCTGAATCCTAACATTAAGGGTGCTGGCATTTCACAATGATGTCAACAACAAGGGTATTTCAAAGCACAGTCCTCCTGGTGCTGTGCATAGATGCAACCGGCAGAATGAAATTATTCAGAGGCTGCCAGCCAGCCCCAGAAACTGCAAAGACCATGCTGAACTCTGCATCTGGGATCTGGCTCCCACCACACTGGCTCCCATGGCTCAACTGGCCGCTCCTCCCAGTCTGGGGATAGCAGTCCCTGGCTCACCATGTCCTGGTTTCCCAGCTCGCCCATGCTCTTCGCTCAGCTCCCAGCAGCAGCACTCTCAGCACAGCATACAAATCCACTGGCACCAGCCTCCCTTCAAAGCCAAGCCTGAAGCCGGTGGAGGAAGGGCCCTGCAACCACTTCTAACTGGCAGGTCGTCTGGAGGGCCTGATTGGCTAATCAGGCCTGAGTGACAAGAGCACCTCCCTTAGGATTACACAGTACTTAAAGACACAGTACAATGGTCCCTGACCCTGACTTCAACCACAAAGACCTTTTCTAGATCAGCAGAGACAATGTATTTCAATATCACTTGCCCCTGGCTCCAATAGCAGACCCTGCTTGCTTCCTGCACTCCATAGGCACTTCCCCTTCTTCCTCCTGGACACAATTTGACTAGCTAACTTGTACAATCCACTATACTATGTGGTGTGGAGTGATTGCTATCACAGGGGTGCAACAGTGCCCAGAATATTAACAACTAAAGAGAGATTTAAAGGCACAAAATGAGATGTTTGTTCTGTGACTTCACACTGAGGTCAGGTGAACTTAAGGTACTTTTTACCTGATTGTCATAGGGTCTTCAGACAACCAGGAAAGAAAATCAGGAACCAGATCACAAACAAGATAATAGGTCGTTCTCCCATCCCAAGGCTGGATGTTAGATAGCTCCATAGCTCCATTGCTTTAGGAGTTTTTGGTTTTTTTGAGGATTTTTGGTTTTTGGTTCTTTTTGTTTGTTTTTTGTTTTTTGTAGCTGTTGTTTTGTTTCGTTTGAGACAGGGTTTCTCTGTGTAACAGACCTGGCTGTCCTGGAACTGGCTTTGTAGACCAGGCTGACCTCTAACTCACAGAGATCCACCTGCCTCTGCCACCACAGCCTGGCTTGTTTTAGGAGTTTTATTCTTGAAATTCAGAGCAAACTGCTGGCAAATGAATAATAATAATAAGTAGTCTTCACAGAAAGTTGAATATTTGGGCTGTAGAGATGGCTTACTGGTTAATACTAGCTGATCTCCCAGAGTTCAATTCCCAGAAACCTCATGATGGCTCACAATCATCTGTAATGACATTAGGTGCCCTCTTCTGGCCTGCAGGGATACATGCAGTCAGAACACTGTATGCGTAATAAATAAATCTTGAAAGAAAAAAAAAAAGAGCTGGGCAATGGTTGAACACACCTTTTTGCTTCTACCAAAACCAACATCAATGGATTTACAGAATGTCTTATCAACTGACATGATATTCCACCTATGGTGATATATTATTTATGATTTATTAAAGCTTGCCTGAGGATTCAGAAAACAAAGTCATCCTCAAGCTACAGAGGTCAGGCAAATTAGTTCTCGAATTTTGCTCTGGTTCATGTGAGACTGAATTACAGACTTAGAATCTTGGAGAAGAGTGTTACTATTATCCAATTATAGGAATAAATGGTCAATTTGTGACACAAGGAAAAGACACTACCATAAGAAAACAGAGCAGAAGAGGTCTTTATCCATAGAAAACAGGGAACTTTAATCAGCTGTACAGAACGCTAACAAGGCAAGTGTTCACAACACCTACTGGACAGTAGCAAAACAGCCTACTGGAATGTCCAACTTGCCCATGGAGACAGACTATTAGGTAAGTAAACTTACTTGGGAGTGAGAACTGCATTCCTCCTCTTATGAGCCTCATTGTTTTCAGTAAGATTGCTAAAAAAAAAAAAAATAGATAGTCCTGATATAATAATTAGCATTTAAAATGAAAGATACTAAGTCTTGTTATATAAAACTGGGACCAGTGAGATGGCTCAACAGATAAAAATGCTTGCTGCCAGGCCTGATGACTTCAGTTTAGTCACCAGGACTAATATACTGGAAATAGAAACCAACTCTTGCAAGATGCTCTCTGACCTACACTCACAAATAAATAAATGTGTGGTGGTTTGAAAGAAAATGGATTCCAAGGAAGTGGCACTATTGGGAAGAGTGGCTTTGTTGGAGTAGGTATAGCCTTGTTGGAGGAAGCAAGTCACTGTGGAGGCCGGTTTTGACGTCTCGTGTATGCTCAAGCTTCGTTTAGTACGATACTCAGTCCACTTCCTGTTGCCTGCAAGAAGTAGGACTCTCAGCTACTTCTCCAGCACATTGTCTGCCTGCATTCCACCATGCTCCCTGCCACAATAATGGAATAAACCTCTGAAACTGTAAGCCCCCACCTCAATTAGATGTTTTCCTTTATAAGAGTAGTTATCGTCATCATGGCAATAGAAACACTAAGACAAAATCTAATTGTAAAAAAAAATCATTAGGGCTGAAGAAATGAGATGGCTCAAGGTTAAAAATGGCAAGTCTTCTTAGTCCTCTTTTAGAGGACCCAAGTTCAGTTCCCAGCACCTACATCAGATGGCTAACAACTTCTACTAATTTCAGCTGAAGGGGATCTAACATCCTCCACAGGCACCTGAACACACACTGCGTGCGCATATTGCACGCACACACTCACTCTCTTTTTCTCTCTTCAAAAAATAATCAAGGAAGGGCTGAAGAAATGGCTCAGAGGTTAGAGGTTAAGAGCATTGGGTGCTCTTACAGAGACTGAGTTCAATTCCCAGCACTCACATAGCGGCTTACAACCAGCTATAACTGCAGTCCCATGGAATCTGATGCCCTCTTCTGGGATATATATCTTTAAAAGTGCAAATCAGTGGTAACTATGGAAAGCCACACAAAATATTCCTGAAGTGTCAGGATAAGTTCCTGAAATGGTCTTGTATTACTTACCTACATAAAACAAAACAAAACCCAGGCACAGTAACACACACCTGTGATCCTAGCACTTGGGAGGCAGAGGCAGGAAGATTGGGAATTCAAGGCCAGCTACAAGTACAAATTCAATTTGAGGCCAGCCTAAGCTACATGAGAGCCTGCCTCCTCCCCACAAGCAAAATATATATATCCTACAACTTTGTACTCTACATTGTAAAATTTTATTATTTATGAGGAAGGAGGCCTCTATTTTGTATATTAAAAAAGCTTCAAATCTGGAATGTAACTTTACATGTAACCTTTTCTCTGGGAAAATGATACCTTTATTTTTATTTATTTATTTTTGGCTTTTTGAGACAGGGTCTCTCTATTGTAGCCCTGGATATCCTCACTATATAGACCAGGTAAGCCTCAGATCAAGACCCACCTGCTTCTGCCTCCAGAGACTGGAATTAAAGGTAAGCCACCACACCCGGCCTTCCATGATTCATTAAACTTACAGGGAATACAAATCTCCATGACAGGACCAAGCATACTTGGTATGTTTATTATTCCTCATTCTTTCAACTTTTCTCTTCTCAGCTAAGATTTATGTAACTGACTTGTTTTTGCAGCCTCATTACGAATATAACTGTTCTCCAATAAATTATGTCTGGAATATCATCTGAGGTCTCTGGTACACCAGCACCTGTGAATAGAGGCTAGCATTCACTTCATCACTTGGATGTCTGCCTTGTGAGTTTTCCGGTGTATACGAAGCCCTGAATTCCAACAAAAGGACTTCCCACATTCAGAGCATTTCCAGGGTTTCTCTCGTGTATGAACTCTCTGGTGTTCACCGAGAGAGGACTTCTGAGTAAAAGCTTTCCCACATTCATTACACTTAAAAGGTTTCTCTCCAGAATGAATTTTCTGGTGTATCTGAAGAGATGCCTTCCGGGAATAAGCTTTTCCACACTCGTTGCATTCATATGGCTTCTCTGTTGAATGAGTTCTCTGGTGTATAATCAACTGTGATTTTCCACAGAAGGCTCGCTCACATAAGCTACATCCATAGGGTCTCTCTCCTGTGTGTGTTCTTCTGTGTATAACAAGGTATGACTTGCTGCTGAAAGACTTTCCACATTCGCTGCAACCATAGGGTTTCTCCCCTGCATGAGCTCGCAAATGAGCAGTGAGCTGCTCCTTCCGACCAAAGGCTTTGCCACACTGACTGCAGTCGTAAGGATTTTTTCCAGTGTGGACTCCCTGGTGCACAATGAACTGTGTTTTCACATTGAAGGTTTTCCCACAATCACTGCACTGATAAGGTTTCTCCCCTGTGTGCATTCTGGTGTGAACAAGGAGGTAGAACTTACTCCTAAATGCCTTCCCACAATCATTGCATTTATGAGGTTTCACTTGCGTGTGAGTTCTCTGATGTACAATGAATGGGGACTTCAAACTAAATGTTTTCCCACATTCGTTGCATTCGTAAGGTTTTACTCCTGTGTGACTTCTCTGGTGTAAAACAAGCTGAGATTTCCAACTGTAGGCTTTCCCACACTCACTGCAACAAAAGGGCTTCTCTCCTGTGTGAACTTCTTGGTGCACAATGAGCTGTGACCTAAAAGAAAACACTTTCCCACACTCACTACATAAGTAGGGCTTTTCTCCTGTGTGCACTCTCTGATGGGCATTAAGGTTTGACTTGGCACTGAAGGCTCGTTCACATTTTGTGCATTTGTAGGGTCTCTCCCCTGTATGAATTCTGAAATGTACAACAAGCTGCGATTTACAACGAAAAGCTTTCCCACATTCATTACATATACAATTTTTTTCTAAGCTACTGTGTCTTTGATGTTTAAAAAAATAAGATTCCTTGTAACTATGAAATCGATCAGGATTCTTTCTTACAAAAATTCTGCTTGAACTCGAGTTTTGTACCACATGTGTCCCACATGTGTTATGCTTATGAAGTCTCTGCCTTGGAGAAACATGGGTTCTGGTCATAGAAAGTTTCCCAAATACATTACGATTATAGCTTCTCTGAACATTTTCATCTTGACTTTTCCGGTACCATTCTTTCCAGTCTTCTAGAAAGAAAAAACAAAACAAAATAGTTCTGATTTTTAATTCTGATACAGAATTAAGGAGATTTGAAAAAGCATGCAGGGGCTGAGGCACATGGGAAGGAGTCATTTAGGGTACATGAAGGCCTGGATTACAACACCAGTACAGCTGAGGGTGGGGTAAATCCTTTCCCTTTGGAAAGAGGCCTATAACACTGCTTTAAAACAAATATGGGCAAAGCATGGGGGTGATGGAAGTAACTAAAACCAAACAAAAACAACTATGTGCCCGTAAACCCAAGTTCTGACATCCCCATGAGCACAGAGCACCATCACTTTGACCCACAAAGCTACCCATCCACAGCCCTTCCTATCATAGAGGCTCCAGCCAAGGGACCAAGATCCAGCGACCCCCAGTCAATCCCAACCTCAAGCCTGGTCGAGAAGCAAAGCCAGCACCCCTTGCTGTCATCAATGAGCTTCCTTTCAAGTCACCTGTCACCAAGTCTTGGTCCTCCCAGTATTACCATTAACAGAAATGGACAAAGATGATACAGTCCTCAAGACCCTCCAAAGATGCCAAGCTACGCTAAGGACCTTCTGTATGTATAGTATGGCCACACATATGTGTATGAAGTGTGATCATAAATGTGTGACTGTTAACAAAAGAATGCCATTGTGTTGTCTTTAAATTGTTTAATTGCTGGGGAAGGAGCAGCAGTTGTTAAAGTACAGTTTACTTGGGAGGGAAATTTATGCTTTTGTTTCCATGGAGGGTGAAGAGCTGTGGATTCCTTCCAGACTGGTGTGATTTCATGGGGCAGGACTCCCTGAAGCAGTGGCCCAGGTGATCCAAATATTTGTTTTCATTTAAATTTGGTTGGTTAGAAATGGTAGTGGTCACAGTCAATCACTTTTTAAAGGAAAAAGGAGGAATATGGTATAGAAATGATACTTTGTATTGGATCCTCATTTGTTGATACTTTTTTTAATACTTTATTTATTATGTATACAGTTTATGCAGTCTGCCTGCATGCTAGCAGAGGACACCAGATCTCATTCAAGGTGGTTGTGAGCCACCATGTGGTTGCTGGGAATTGAACTCAGGACCTCTGGAAGAACAGTCAGTGCTCTTAACCACTGAGCCATCTCTCCAGCCCCCTTGTTGATATTTGTATTGGAATGGATCTTCATTTGTTGATGTTAGCTAGGCTTTCAAGATATATATTCTTCAAACCTTTCAAAGACCTACCTAATAAATGGCATTTAAATGGTTTAGGGTTTTTCTTGACAGTAAGACACAACTGCTCGTGGCACACCAATTACATCTGAGAGGAAGATGGGCATCCAAGAAACTCATTACAGAGTTTGCCTTTGACGTGGCAAGACTAGCCATTTGGGCGAGATGCTGCTCTTGCCTGAACTGTTTGACTGTTGCTTTATAAACTGGACATGCAGGACCTACAGGAAAGTGACTCCTGAAACAGGATGGACAGCCCTAAAAAGTTTCCTGCTTCATGGAAGAGTCTGCCAGATATTCTACAAGACACAGAAAAAAAGTGACAGACAAACTGCCAATGCAGGTGGACAGTTTAGAATTTCCCGCTTTTCTGAGAAGTCTGCCAGACACATTGTGGCCTGTAGGCTAAAGATGGATGCCCCAACGTTACCAAGAAACTTTGGGTGACTATCTAGGAAGCAATGTCCTTGTCAGTTCTAGAGTTAATCTTTCTATGGTCTTTGATGGAGTTGAAGATAGATAGTTATAGTAACATACTAAGATAGAATGGTTGAAATCTTATAGTTCTTACATGATAACTGTTTTGTTATATATAAAGAAGTGGGAGATGTTGGGACCCAGCCCCCATGGGGTCTCTAAGAGTTGTTTTCCAGAATAACCCACAGGAATCTCCTGTTTTCCTGACCTCACCCCACTAGCATCAATATCCTGTTGTGAACCCTTTGACCTGGGGTTTTTGTAAGTTTGTACATATGGCTGCTTCACAATAAAGGTGAGAGACATTATCTCAGAAAGCAACCAGGCATCTTGTCATTCATCCAAATCTCTAGGCATTTGCTGGATACTCAGACTTAGTGGTGGCCAAGAACAGCCACACTGGTAGTGAATTGGTCATGATGAAAACCATTTTAAAAAGGGGTTTTAACAAATATACTTGCTGGACAAGATAACACATGCATTTAATCCCAGCACTTGGGAGGCAGACGCAGGAAAATCTCTGTGAGTTCTGGGACACCCTTGCTACATAGTGAAAGCCTGTCTCAAAAATAATACTCCCTGCCCCCAAATAAAAGAACTAAAAAAATATACTTGCTGGGCTGGAAAGATGGCACAATGAGCAAAGGTCTAATAACCCACTTTAATCCCCAGGACTCACATAATAGAAGGAAAGAACTGACTTCTAGAAATTGTCTTCTGAATTCTGCACATGTGCAGTGGTGCATATAGCACCCCCAACCCAAAAAATGTTTTTTAAAACATACATACAAAGCTGGGCATTGGTGGTGCACACCTTTTATCCCAGCACTCGAGAGGCAGAGGCAGACGGATCTCTGTGAGTTCGAAGCCAGCCTGGTCTACAACAGCGAGTTCCAGGACAGGCTCCAAAGCTATACAGAGAAACCCTGTCTTGAAAAACCAAAAAGATAAAATAAAATAAATAAAACTGTTTACATCTGAATTTTACTGCCATAAGATTCTATATAGTTAAAGCATGAACTACATCATGCAGAGTAAGTGTTAAGACATTTACATCTGCTGACAATGAGACATTAAAAAAGAATGAACTAAAACTGGGCATGGTGGTGTGTTGATAAATTATCTTTTTTAACACTATGAAGATGTCTCTCTCTGATTGGTTTAATAAAAAGCTGAATGGCCAATAGCTAGATAGGATTTTGGGGTCCAAGAGGACTCTGGGAAGAAGAAAGGGGTCACCAGCCAGAGAGCAAGCAGTATGGGCACTGTAGAGATGAGGAAATGAAACCACAAGGCAGAAAATAAATTAATAGAAATAGATTAATTTAAGCTATAAGAGCTAGTTAAGGCCGGGCGTTGGTGGCGCACGCCTTTAATCCCTGCACTCGGGAGGCAGAGGCAGGCGGATCTCTGTGAGTTCCAGGCCAGCCTGGTCTCCAGAGCGATTGCCAGGATAGGCTCCAAAGCTACACAGAGAAACCCTGTCTCAACCCCCCCCCAAAAAAGAGCTAGTTAAAAACAAGCCTAAGCTATCAACCAAGCTTTCATAATTAATAATAAGTCTCCATGTCATTACTAAGGGAGCCAATGGTCCTGACAAAAAATCCACCTACATTGTTGCATGTCTATAATCCCAGTATGAGAGAGACAGAGAGAGAGACAGACAGACAGACAGACAGAGAGACAGACAAACAGAGAGAGATATTCTTCTCAAACCTTTCATCATCCTCATCAGGACTAGAGAGATGGTTATGCAGTTAAGAATACTTGTGCTCTGCACGCCAGAAGAGGACACCAGATCTCATTACAGATGGTTGTGAGCCACCATGTGGTTGCTGGGAATTGAACTCAGGACCACTGGAAGAGCAGCCAGTGCTCTTAACCACTGAGCCATCTCTCCAGCCCAACCATTTGTATTTTCATGGTCTTCATTAGTTATTTATTCATATTGTCTTTAAGGTCCTTGAACACATCCATAATTCCTATTTTGAAGTCCTGGGTTTGTGATTCAGCTAAATTGCTCTTAACATCTGAGCCATCTCTCCAGCTCCAGCAGACATACATGGAAGCAGGATGTTCATAATAAATAATCTTAAAAAAAAAATACTTGTGCTCTTATAGAGGACCAAAGTTTAGTTCCCAGCAACCACAGTGGCTCACATTCATCCTTAGCTCCAGTTTCTGGGCATTTGACTCCCTGTTCTGATCTCTGAAGGCACTAGGCACATGCACACGTACATGTAGGCAAAATATTGATACACAAACAAACACACACACACACACACACACACACACATACACACACACACAAAATCTAAAAAAAAATTTTTGAAAGAGTAAAAAATCAAAGTGCAGTGCCTGAAGCCATAACACTAACAAAGGAAGCTGCTATCAATACCAATGAAGAGAGAGGTACCCGACATTGTTCTAAGGGGGCTTTATCTGACCAAAGATAATTGTTATCTTCTTCCCTCTATAAGAAGTTTCTCTTACAACTTTCTAGTTTTAGTTTCATAGCTATACACTGAATCACAAGCCTATAATTCCAGTGCTCTAGAGGTAAAGGCAGGAATATCTCAGCATGGTCTACATAGAAAGCTCTAAGCCAACAAGGGCTACAGTTAGACTCTGTCTCAAAAGGCAAAAAAAACAAATTCAAGCACCTTTACAATCCTTGGCATGCTTGAAACAGACATCTTAGCCCTTAACTATATTCACTCAGATGGTGAGAACTTCACCCATACTTGTCAGATGGGAGCACAAATATACAAAGAGATCCTGGACTTGAATCTGAATTATGGCCCCAAATATGTACTGACTAAAGGGATGCGCTCATATTTCATATCAACAAGAACATTTTTGTACACAAGCATATGAAAAGGCACTCTATCCTTAATACCCAAAAGTCTACCCCAAAGCTACGTCCCCACCCTCTGCACAGCAGCCCTGAATAGAAAAGATATCCATCCTTCTCCTATTCACATTGTCTAGTCAGGAAGGCAGGTCATGATTCATAGAAGCCAATCCATCCCTTTTACTACGGCTGGTTTGAACAGCAGATATGAATTTTTTTTAAAAAAATGGGCATGATAACACAGGTCTGTAATCCCACCACTCAAGGGTAGAGATAGGAGTGCTAGAATTCTTGACCACATGAGAACCAAAAGAGAGAGGGGCAGAGGGTGGGTAGGAGGGAGAGAGGGAAGAAGACAGGAAATGAATACATGGTCAGATTACTAGTTTCAAAAGAACCCAGACACCACTGAATGGGAGCTTGCAAAAAGAAAAATGACTTGGAGCTTGAGAGATGGCTCAGCAACTTAGAATACTTGCTGCTCTTGCAGAGGACCCAGGTTCATTCCCAGTACCTACAAGGCAGCTAATGACTGTTAACTCTACTTACAGGGAATCCAATTCCTCTTCTGAGCTCTACAGGCACTGCATGCCTACAGTACTCAAATGGGCAAAATTCCCATATACATAAAATAAAAATAAATAGCCATGAGAGGTGACATATACCTTTAATCCCAGCATGCAGTAGGCATAGGCAGGAGGATCTTTTGAATTTGAGACCAGCTTGGTCTTCAGAGCAAGCTCCAGGCCAGCCAGGGCTATACATCAAAATCCTGTCTCAAAAATAAATAATAGGGCTCAAGAGATGGTTCAGTGATTAAGAGAACTCTTTGCTCTTGCAGAAGATCCAAGTTTGATTCCCAGTACCCACATGGTAGCTCATAACCATCTGTAATTGCAATCCCAGGGGATCCAATGCTCTCTTCTGATCTCCTCAGGCACCAGGCATGCACATACAAACATGCAGGTAAAATACCATGCAATCAAAACAATTATCCACATAAAATTATAAAAGTAAATCTAAAAAGCTATTCTAAAAATAATAAAACTAAAAAGAAAGAAAAATGACTTGATTCAGAAGTTCCTGCCATGTCTGTATGTGGTATCTGACACTGGGGATCCTGCTAGGCTACTGAAGGTGTAAGGGAAGAATATAACATCTTAGGACAACAAGAGGGTACCAGATGGAAACCTACTTCTGATATCAGCAAAGTTCTGAAGTAGTCACTTTGTAGAACTGCTCTATGCAGACTACTGGTCATTTGAGACTATATACTCTTACTATTTTACTTAGATTGAATCAGATAATTAAAATACCAGTGTATTTTCCCAGACTACTCATAAGATGATTTCAAAAACAAATCTAGTACAACAGTAAAAAAGAAACCAAGAGATCCCAGATATGGTTAAGAATGTGAACTAAGGGCTGGAGAGATGGTTCAAAGATTAGGAGCATTGGCTGCTCTTCCAGAGGTCCTGGGTTCAGTTCCCAGCAACCACATGGTGTCTTAAAACCATCTGAAATAAGATCTGGAGTCCACTTCTGGCCTGCAGGCATACATGCAGATAAAACACTGTAAATAAATAAATGAATCTTTTATAAAAAAAAAAGTGAAGAAAAAAAGAATGTGAACTAAGTATGCACCAATACTGTTCTAGACTGGGTGACAAAAGAAGACAAGTGTTAAAAGATAATCTTCAGGAGTTCACATCCGGACTTCGGAGGTGGAGGTTACTGAGTTCTCAGGTCGGTGGTGACGGTAAACCCAGCTGCCTCTGGAGCCAGGTCTGAGAGGAGGGTGTCCACTAGGCTTTTCTCTCGCCCGTGCGAGCACGTCATCGGTTTAAGACGCCGTTGTGCTTGCGGAAGGAGCCCGATTCTGAGAAGAAGGAGGTCATGTCCTCGGCCGCCACGTCTAAGTACTTAAACCACATGTGGCAGGCTTTCTGCAGGAGAAAGTGTCGCCATCCACGTTGGGCTCAAGCCGCTCCAGCCGCCTGTTGTTGTGCTCCCGCAGCTCTCCCCCGACTCGCGCAGCACCAGCTGCTCGTTGTAGAGCAGGCGGTCCCGGTCCTGATCCTGGTCCTAGTCCCGACCCCGGTCCTGTTCCCGCATGCACCACCAGAGCAAGTACAGGCGCTACTCGCTCGTATTCACGCAGTCGCTTCCGGTCCCAGTCCCTAGGCCGCCACTACCACTGAGATAACTTTTGTGGGCCGTTGCAGAGGTCCCGGAGCAGGTCGCACTCCCGCGAGAGGTCGTATCACCGGAGGTCGTATCACCGGAGGTCGTACTATGCTATCACGAGCAGGCTGCTACTACTTACTACTACGGTTTCGGCCGAGGATCGCCCCCGGTGGAGGGAAAGATCCAGAAACAGGTCTACCAGTCGCCCTACTGGTCCCGGAGCAGGTCGCACTCCCGCGGGAGGTCCTATCACCGGAGGTCATACTACGGGATCATGCGCACCGGCGGCGCTACTACAGTTTCGGCCGCTACTACAGTTTCGGCCGCAAGGTGTACCCCGAGGATCGCCCATGGTGGAGGATAAGATCCAGAACCAGGTCACGCAGCAGGAGCAGAACTCCCTTTCGCTTAAGTGAGAAAGATCGAATGGAGCTGCTGGAAATAGCAAAAGCCAATGCACCAAAAGCTCCAAGAACAGCCAACTTTGATTTGCCGACAAGTCTCCGGACTGCAGCCAAGGAAACAAGCCAGAGAGCAGCTGTTTTGAGCAGTGGCTCAAAGATGGAGCACTCAGAAAATCAAGCTGAAGATGAAACTAAAAATCACAGTGAGAAATCTTCCACACAAAGAAACATAGCCTTCAGTTCTAATAACTCCATAGCAAAGCCGATACAGAAAACCGCTAAAGCTGCTGAAGAGACATCATCAGGATCACCAAAAATAGATCAGAAAAAAAAGTCCTTATGGACTATGGATACCCGTGTAAAGGAAAACTAAGGGCTGGGTTCCCTAAAACTGCACTTTACTGAGCGTTCCTGTCCTCCAGCATTAGCCTACCTGCCTGAGTATCATGGCAGTAAATGTTGTAATTAAACTCCATTACAGAAAGATGCTTAATGGTGACATGTTCACAGTTGAGGTTTCTCTTGAAATTATAGAACACAGATGGGCCAGAAAATTGCACACAGTTGGAAATCTTGTATATACTTGTAAGTATTGTATAGTGTTGCATATGTATATGGGTGAATTTTGTAAGGCACAGTTGAATACTGTGTATTTTGTATATTTGTTAATAAACTTTTTATTATTTGTCTTTAAAAAAAAGATAATCTTCAGGGGCTGGAGAGATAGCTCAGCAGTTAAGAGCACTGACTGCTCTTCCAGAGGACCACGGTTCAATTCCAGGTACCCACATGCCAGCTTACAACTGTCTGTAACTCCAAGATCTGACACCCTCACACAGGCATACATTAGGCAAAATATCAATGCAAATTTTAAAAAAATATATAATCTTCAAAGACCAAAATACCAACAGAAACAGAAGTAGTGGAAACATTCATTCACAAAGGAAAAGATACAAATACAAAACAAGCCTACAGAGTCCAGGATAGTGGATTAGCTATTCAACCACAGTAGTCATATTAAAAAATGAAAAACCTGAAAGAACGATATCCTGGTTACTCTTAATTGTTAGCTTGACAACATGCAAACTCATCTAAGAGAAGCCTCGAACTGAGAAACTGCCTTTATCTTGTTGGTCTATGGGCATGTCTGTGAGGTTTTTTCTGATTATTAATTAATATAGAAGGGTCCACCCCACTGTAGACAGTACTATTTATTCCTTGTGCAGGTGATTCTGGACTATATAAGAAAGCTTATAAGCAAGCCAGAAAGCAGCAGTTTCTTATGGGTTCTGCTTTGAGTCTATATCAATATTCCTGCCCTGGTTTTCCTCAATGACAGACTGTGTCCTGGAAGTGTAAACCAAATAAACCCTCTCCTTCTAGACCTGTTTTTGGCCAGTATTTTATCACAACAGAATGAAACTAGAGCAAATGGTGGCTTTAAACATAAGATTTTTCCCATTCCTGAAACCAGAGTGAAGTCTTGAAAAATAGACAACTAGCCGGGCGTTGGTGGCGCACGCCTTTAATCCCAGCACTCGGGAGGCAGAGGCAGGCAGATCTCTGTGAGTTCGAGGCCAGCCTGGTCTCCAGAGTGCCAGGATAGGCTCCAAAGCTACACAGAGAAACCCTGTCTCGAAAAACCAAAAAAAAAGAAAGAAAGAAAGAAAGAAAGAAAGAAAGAAAGAAAGAAAGGAAGGAAGGAAGAAATATAGACAACTTTCCTATAGATAAATAAAACCCAGGATCAAATGCAGGAGAAAAAGGAGGAATATGTGAATTTTAGCTTTCTAACAACAGGAAACACATTTTCAGAATGCAAGAGCTTTTCCATGTCTACACTGCAGAGGGAGACAGCTAAATCTGGGGAGTAACCCTCAGTAGATAACCAGCAAGAGGGAACATCGTTCAATGATACACATGAGGAAGATCTGGACCCACAGGTAAGGTCTTAAATAATTTAACTGTCAAAAGGAGACAAGACCCACGTGAAGGGATACACTCTGGCCCTGGACACATGGGGAAGGGCCCAGGCCCAGCACAGGAAGATTTGGTGGACTTTGCAGAGCCCCCATTGAGGGCCCTACCTTGCCTGGGGAGTGGTAGGTGGGTGGGGTAGGGGGTAGGTTGGGGGTGGGGGGGGAGGGATGGGGGGGAGGGGAGGGAGAGGGAGAAGGGACTTACATGTGAAACAAGCTTGTTCCCTAACTTGAACTAATTAAAAAAAAGAAAGAAAGAAAAAATGAAAAAGAAAGGAAGAAATTCTCTCAGGGCCCAACTGCCCCCTGAAAGGAAGGAGATTAATCCAGAAGGCAGACTCTGGACAGAGTTCAGGGAAGAGGTACACGCCCACTTCTCAGAGCTGAAAGGGGAAAGAGAACCCAACATTCAAGGTGACAATTGAGTGCCTGACTTAAGAAATTCATAGTCTCATCCCAAGTCAGTTCCATCAGTTTGAGACTTTCAGGAGTTTCTAGGAACACCACCACACCAGTATCAAGTCCCTAAGTGACAGCCAATTTACCTCCATACCTACCATCTTCCTGGTCCTCAATCACCTACCTGGACAGATCTGTGTGGATATTTTGGCATTTATTATCCATGGTTCCTTTCCTTGCTCCAACTTGAAGATTAAATCAGGTTTGGACCCAAGATATCCTGTGTTAATATAAAAAAAACACAAAGGATGCAGACCAAAACTGCTAAGGGTAAACTACAAAACAAAATTGCTAATTTGCACTTGAGAATAATAATTTAAAAAAGGAAGACCAAATAATCACCAAGAACAATTACCTTTTTAAAGTTCAAATTCATAATCATCAATTACTTCAGAGGTCTCAAGTTAGATCAACAAAAGGTTATGACTTCCGGGTGAGTTAAACAGAGATGTTGGACTCACCCACTGACAACAGGTTGCTATAGTTCTCCAGAATCACCTCTCTATACAGGTGCTGTTGTGCAGAGTCCAGTAGCTGCCATTCTTCACACGATAACTCCACAGATACATCCTTGAATGACAATAACCCCTGTAAGAATACATACTCTGTTAACTAGATGTACTCACAGCAGTTAGCATGGGGAGAATGCAAAAAACTTAAAAAGAAAAACTATTCCTCTCCAGATGGTCTGTTCTGCTAGGTCCATCATCTACTTTTTAAAAGAGTAGAAAATTGAGCCTAAAGAGATGGCTCAGTGTTTTTTTGTTTTGTTTTGTTTTGTTTTTTCAGTTTTAACTTTATTTTATGTGCATTGGTGTGACAACGTCAGATCCCCAGGAACTGTAGTTTACAGACAGTTGTGAACTACCATGTGGGTGCTAGGAATTAAACTTTGGTCTTCTGGAAGAGCAGACAGTACTCTTAACCACTGAGGAAATGGCTCAATATTTGAGAACATTGGCTGCTCAATCTCAAAGATTGAAGTTTGGATCATAGTAACCAAATAACAAATAATGCATCCCCAAATGTCTGTAACTCCAGCTGTGAGGGATCCAACACCCTCTTCAGGTCTCTGTTAACACCAAGCACACACATGGTACACAGACATATACACAAGCAAAACATCTGTACACAAAAAAAAAAATTAAATTAAAAAAAAAATCAACCAGTCAATCATAAAAGTACCAGGCACTCTTTCTCTGAGAAGTTTTCAGTCTTGAAGGGGGAAACAAGCATATAAACAAATACACAAAAGCAGGCCCAAGGTAAATGTTGTACCAAATGGACAGAACAATTCTCAGTAAGCACCCAGACCCAGCTCCACTGAGAGTCATCTAAGTGGTTCCCCCCAAAGTAATGGGATGGAAAGAGAATTTAGGAAGTGATCAGGATGAGGTTCACCTGGAAACAATGAGGGGAAGCACCAGTGAAAAACTAGAGTTCAGCCTCCTCCTTCAGGAGCCTGAAGGCAACTGGAGTGTACAGAAACCCCGTCTACACTGGAGTAAGACAGAAAATGGCTTTCTGTCTTCTGCTATCCTGTGTGTCTTCCATGCCCCAGTAATCCAAGTCCAAGAGAACAACAGTCATGATATACAGGACATGGGTGCTGGCAGGGGACAACAGAGAAACCCAGAAATGTCTATTTCTTTTTCAAAATGTAAAAAGGTGTTGTCAATTATGGAAGAAAAAAATGTATACAGAGGACAACCTGTATTCACTATACTGAGATACAGCAAACACCACTTACAATACTGAGCAGAACCTGGTATATTCAGGGACTGTGGCATCCCAGAAACAGAGAGGAAGGTTCTTATGATACACAGAAAAGGAAGGAGAGGGGGGATGGAAAAAATGAAGAAATTAAGTACATATCAAGTAAACACTAAGTAATGAACACTGATAATCAGAATTTACACATGATAATTACAGTTTTTATGCCAGTGTAACACTGAGAAACTAAACTAAATGCATTTCATATGCAACCCATTTTACATGAATGTCACTAACATAAGAGAACCCCAGTGCTGCCACCCAGTTCCCCATTCCTGGGTCACTAAAACTTGCCAACTCCATAGAGAACCAGCTAATGTTCTACTGTGCTATCTGGCCGGTTAATATTGCCATCGACAAAAATCCAGAATAGTCGAAGACACAAACTTCTGGGCCTACATGTGAGGAATTATTTCAATTAGGTTGAGACAGGAAGACCCCCTTAACTATGGATGGAACCATAGGCTGACGTCCTGGGCTGAAGAAAAAGGGGGGAATGAGCTGAGCTTTTTGAACACAAATGCAATGTATGCCCAACTGATTCAAGTTCCCACCACCATGGAAGCCACCATAACGGACCACATGTCCAAACTGTGAGCCAAAACAAACTCATCCTTTCTTAAGTTTCTTCTTGTCGGGCATTTTGTCACAGCAATGACTCAAGTAATTAATACACAGGCTTCCCACAATATATAACTTCAAAAATCAAACACTGACAAAATTATAAGATTTAATTCCATTAAGTAGCTCGGTGCATGCATGAGCTCTACCTCACCTCTCTGGCTTCTTCCAGGTAAATGGAAACAGTTCAGGACCAAGGAGGAGTCAAGCCAGAGCAGTAGAGGTAATAAGATCCTCATAGACCTTAGGGTTAGTACATAAAAAGGAGGGGGGAGTCACTTTGATTTAGCATGGTGTGGATAATAATCAATTACTTCATCCGGTGCCCATCACAGAAGCAGCAAGCTATCCTGATCCTGAGAAAAGTGAATGATTAGAAACCTGTTGAGAGGCTATATGGCTTGCCAAGCATGGTGGTGTATACCTTTAGTCCCAGCACTCGGGAAGCTGAGGCAGGCAACTCTCCGTGAGCTCATCTATATAGAAAGTTCAGGTCAACTCAAATATATAAAAGAAATGTGAAGCCAGGCATGCTGGTGCACACCTTTAATCCCGGCATTCGGAAGGCAGAGGTAGATAGAGCTTTGTGAGTTCGAGGCCAGCCATAGCGTTCCATGCCAGCCAGAGCTCTGTGGTATGGCCCTGTCTCAAAAAACAACAACAACAACAACAACAACAACAACAAAAACATAAAATGTATCATCCTGTTGATAGCGCCCGCTTCAGGGCTTGGCAGGCAAAAGACATTGAATGAATATGCATTTCCAAAACAAGCGAAAAGGGGCGTGGTGGTGATTTACCCGACGAGGTCCTAAGAGTCTGCATAAAGTCAGCCGCTGGTTGACAAGAATTTCCTTCAGACCACCTGCACCTGACAACAGAGTCCAAGTACACCGAGGCGCGCTTCTGCAGAGCCCGGAGAGCGTGCAGGCCTAGATACGACTTACGGAGTAAAGACGACTACCGACTGTAACCGGTCAGCTTGTTAAAAAGCGACCCAACGTACCCTGAACGAAGCGGACCGTGGTTCGGCTTCCATGGGTTCGAGTACAGCCTCGGGGCTCCTATCAACAGAAAGAACACAAGAGGTCGGACGAAGAGTTCTAGTCTGTCAGTAATCCTGAAGAGCCGAGTTGCCGGACAGCGGGCTCCGGCCGGGATTCCGGGCTCCGGAGCGGGCTGGCTGCGGATCCAGAGCCGCCGCAGCTGCCAGCAGCTCCGGGTCCCCGCTGCGAGGCAAGCGGCCCCACCAGCGCACTCGGAAGGGAGAAGGGCGGAGGGAAGGGGAGCGGCGCACAAAGAAGCGCGTCATTCGCTCGCTGGACATGCGCCTGGAAGGAAGGAAGCTCTTTTTCTCCGAACGCGCTGCGGAGAGACTAGTTCACAGAGGCAGGACGAGAGCCAGCCAGTTTCCGCGCTCACGCCTTTAAGTCCCAGCACTCGGGAGACAGAAACTGGAGGATTTCTGTGAGTTACAGGCCAGCCAGGACTACATAAAGAGATCCTGTCTCAAAAATACCAAAAGAAACAAACAAAAACAAAACCCACGCTGGAGACGCCTCTCAGACCAGTAAAGAGACTTGGCCGCTTCACTGAGCACAGACATGATACAATACACAGTTGAAGATGGCTTAAAGAACTGGCTGCGCATCCAAAGGACCCGGGTTTAGTTCCCAGCACCCACAGGCCGGCTCACAGTCAACTCCAGTCCCAAGGAAGCTGACCCAGACATACGCGCATTCAAAAACACCATAGACTGGGGGTTAAGGGGAAGGACAGGACGCTTTACGATTCACTAGGTGACATACGGTTGTGAGTATTAGTGCATCAAATAAAAAGTCATTAAAGGAAAAACTATTGTGGATGTGAAGAAAAATAAAAACACATGGAAAGGTGAAGTCTGTCCAAAATGAATCTAAGTATGCAGATACTACAAAGGAGCGCAATCTAAGGTCTTCTGTCTTAAAAAGTTTTCATCCTGCCACTTGGCCTCCATTGGGATTGTATTCAAGAACCAGAAGGTGAGCTGGATCCCAGCGCTCAGGAGATCGAGGCAGGCAGATCTCTGTGAATTCCAGGCCAGCCTGCTCTACAGAGTTAGTTCCAGAACAGCTAAGGCTATTACATAGAGAAATCCTGTGTCAAAAAAAAGGGGGGGGCTCTTCTTGAGATATTTAAGTTAATGAATTCTTCCTTTAAATCATCTTCTTTGGGTGCTGGAGAGATGGCTCAGTGGTGCACTTCAAGAGAACACAAGTTTAATTCCCAGCACTCTGGCAACTCACAGCTGTCTCCGGGGATCCAATATCCTCTTCTGGCCACTGAAGGCACTAAGCATGTACATGGTTCACAGACAAAAATGCAGGCAGAACACTGATACACGTAAAATAAATAAATTTAAAAATAAAAACATTCTAAAAAAAAAATCTGCTCCCCTGGGGGCAGACAGGACTTTTCCTGTCTCCCTCTTCTCTTCTGTCCTCTCTCTGTCCCATGTCTCTGTTTCTTTACCCCTTTCCCCTTTCCTCTCCCCTCTTTCCATTCTAATAAAACTTCTCACTTAAAAAAAAAAAATCTACTTCAGGCCAATGAGACAGCTCAATGGGTGAAGGACCTTCTGATGAACTGAGTTCTATCTCAGAACCAGAGTTTATGTCCCAGGTAGGAATACAGAATCAACTCCACAAAATTGTCTGCTAACCATATTGCACTATGGCAGACACCCTATTCCCCTCATCATACATACACACGCTAATAAATAAATAGATAAGTATGTTAATTATCTGTGTCACTGAGAGACAGGATAGAAAGAAAAATTATGAGGACATGAAAAAGAAAAGGAGCTCTTCAGCCTGGAGTCTGGTTGAAGTCTCACCAGCTAAATATCAAGGATTCCAATGCATTTACTTAGGGTCCTTTCCTCATTTAAAAACCCATGGTTTTCTAGTAATCTCATGGAAAAACCTTATTTATGGTGAAAGACATGTCCTAAATTCCTTGTGTAACTCTAGTGGTTCTCAGTTTTATTTTCTCATATTGTAATCCCACCCAAGGTACCTCTTGGAGCCAATTTATAATCTCAGTTATCCTAAAAGGGAACAGAGATAGAGGAAGGGAAGTTTCCTAGTTTGACATCCTGAGTTTGTCATTTCCAGTTTTATTTCATTTTGGTTTTTGTTTTGTTTTGCTTTGCTTTTTGAAATGGGGTTTCTCTGTGTAGCTTTGGAGCCTGATCTGGAACTCGCTCTGTAGACCAAGCTGGCATAGAACTCATAGAGATCATCCTGTCTCCGCCTCCTAAGTGCTAGGATTAACGGTGTGCACCACCACTGCCAGGTTTTGGATTTTCTTTAGTGATTCTGTTAAATTGATAAATTCTACGTTCATGTCTTGAATTGTTTTTTATTATTATTTCATCAACTGTTTGTATTTTCTTTTTTAAGATTTATTTGTTATGTATACAGTGTTCTGCCTTCATGTATGCCTACATGACAGAAGAGGGCACCAGATCTCATTACACATGGTTGTGAGGCACCATGTAGTTACTGGGAACTGAACTCAAGACCTGTGGAAGAGCAGGCAGTGCTCTTAACCACTGAGCCATCTCTCCAGCCCAACCATTTGTATTTTCATGGTCTTCATTAGTTATTTATTCATATCCTCTTTAAGGTCCTTGAACACATCCATAATTTCTATTTTGAAATCCTGGGTTTGTGATTCAGCTAAATTGCTTTTCTGGTCACCTATTACAATAGAATTGTTGACTTCTGTAGGAGGTATATTGCATTAGCTATTCAAGTTTGTGTTTTTGCACTGGGGTCTAGGCATCTGGAGCTATGATGTCTGAAGTGTTTCTTGGTGAAGATCTCTGATCCAATCTTTGTTGGATGGATGTTCCATTCTTCAGTTGCTGTTGCCTACTCTGGTTCCTATCCAAGTATGGTGGCTTTGGGGTTCTTGGTAGAGAGTGTTTCTGTGAATCAATAGGTGTCACAAAGGGATGGAGATAGGCTACAAGGAAAAGCCAAAAGGGGCATCGGGAAAGAACTAGGGTAACCCTGGGTCTGTACCAAGAGGTGGAGTCCCTAGGGAATGGAGGTAAGCTGAAAGAAGGGGCTCTGGAAGGTTCCTTGGGAACCCAATGAACAATGAACAATGAAATGACAAAAGCTTCCAAAATCCTATACACAGGGTGGGTAAGATGACTCATCAAATAAAGGACCATTGCCAAGAAGCCTAATGATCTGAGTCATCTCTGTGCACATGTGTGCTATAGCACATGCATGCATGCACATATACAGTTATATATAGTTACTACCAGGACCTTGAAAAGAGTGTCTTGGAGAAGCCCATACCTGTACTTCTGGTGTATATTTCTTTCCTTCTCTTATGCATCATTCTTAAAATCTCTATTAAAAATGTATTTTTACCAACAGTCAATTGTGGACCCTGTGTGCAAAACTACCAACTTGCAAGGTTGTGCATGTTGTAATTTCTTTTAAAATGCCTTGAAGAAAAGTCACACCATACTTCACAGGGCTCACATGGGAGGTTTATTGGAAGAGGAGAGAGAAGTGGCAGGGGGAGGGTGTTCAGAGACTGGTCTCTGGGGACAAGAGTTGCAGGGGAGAGAGGGAGAGAGAGAGAAAGAGAGAGAGGGAGAGAGGGAGAGAGACAGAGAGAGAGAGAGAGAGAGGGAGAGAGGGAGAGAGACAGAGAGAGAGAGAGAGAGAGGAGAGGGAAGAAGGAGGGAGAGGGGGAGAGAGGGCAGAGGGGAGAAGAGAGAGAGGAGAGATGGAGAGAGGGGAGAAGGAGAGGAGGAGAGGTGGAGAAGGGGTGGTCAAGGCCCACCTTTTAAAAGGGAAGTAGCAAATATGCACAGGTGGGGCTCTTAGTGGCTACAGCTGAGGAAGTATCCTGTTAGGACCCCAAGGGCAGGCCAGTAATGCTAACAGTGCACACTGGGTAATAGTGGAAAGCCTTCCACAGGAATAACAACTTCCTTCTTATTGGATTCTAGGCCTGCCTCAAGAGAGAGAATTCAGGCTGGTAGTGTAACCCTGATCAAAAGTCTGTGGCTTAGGCTGGTGAGATGTTCAGCAGTAAAGACGTTTATCATGCAAACCTGATGACCTGAGTTTGATCCCTGGAACTCAAGTAAAGGTGGAAAGAAACCAATTCCACAAAGTTATTCTCTGACCTCACACATGCTCCACAGCATGTGTGTATGAGGAGAAAGTTTATTGGAGATATGAGGGAGAGCATAGCCAGAAGCAGAGGCATCTGGGACAATCCAGAGTGAACACAGCCCTGAGCCAGGCCATGTGAGGAGAGAGGGAAAGGGAGAGAGGAGAGCCAGCAGACCAAGAGGCCAAAAGGGAAAAGGGGTAAAAAGGACCAGCAGAGCCAAAATGGATGGATTACCTAGGGAAGAGTCTCTGAGGGAAGGGCAGCTCAGTCCCTGGGCTGGAGAGTTTAGTGTGCCAGCCATACCCTGTAACAGGTAGGAACTGAAGCATGCTGGGAGAACCTGACAGCCAGGTCTACTTTGACATTTAGCTGTTTGTCTGGGGTTTGAGACCTAACAGGGACTGCCTCCACAAGCTCTGCACAACATTAGGTTCACCAAACCTATCACAGATGTGGGAAGGACAAATAAGGCCCCACTCCTCTCTGAGGATTTGTGTATAATTCATGGTTGATACAAGAGAGACTGGTAAAGTGCCCATGCTCCAGTGAACAACCCTTCACCCATGATCCTGTAACCAACTCTTAAAAAATGGCATTGGGTCATCAAAAAAATTACATGGGAGGGGACTAGTTAAGAAGGAAGGGGGTCAATGGGAGTGAGGGACAAGAGTCGGCAAGGGAGGAATATGGTCAAAATACATGTATGAAAACATTAAACCCATTATGCATAGGCAATAAGATCTTTTTTTGTAAAACCTCACTCTGCTTCATACTGGCTAATCATGAAATTAGAAACCAGGGGTTAAATTTTACCAGGGATAAAGGAACTCCTCAGACCGCAATTGCAGCTGTATCTCTGTCCCTATTGCTGCTGATAATTAGGCTTCAAACGCATTAGCATGCCCAGATGCTGGTATCCCAGTACTCAGAAGGCAGAGGCAGGTGGATCTCTGTGAGTTTGAGGCCACCCAGGTCTACAGAGCTAATTCCAGGACAGCCAGAGCTGTTACACAGAGAAACCCTGTCTTGAAAAGTCAAACAAACAAAAAGACATTAA